TTTGTTCCTTTGCAAAAAAAAAAAATTGAATAGAAAGAAATAAACACGATATTCAACCCAAAAATAAACTCATTCTCTCTCTCTCACACTCTAATTCTTTCTCTTTCAGTTTGGCTTTCCATTTCAGTTTTTCTTTGCCTTCTTCTTCTTCCTCCTCCTCTTCCTACCTCTTCCTTTTTTTCTTCCTCTTCACCAGTGGTGGTAAATCATTTCCCGGTTGCAGGATCGTTAAGTCTCCTCGTCTAATTTACTGAGTTAGATAGGAAACCCTTCAATGTCTCCCTTCGTGTTCCAGTCTTCCGTTCTGTTCCGATCCTTCCTCGAATGAGAAGTATTCGACTACCACGACTAAGATGAGGAGGAGAAGAACCAAGGGTGGGATTGGAGGGGGCGTCGAGAGGGTGGATAGGAGAGAAAAGACGAAAGGAAGACGAGGACGACTACGAAATTTCAATTTCCGAAGCGAGTCGCAATGTCGAGCATTATCGATGTCGTTACGCGGAATTGCTTGGCACAAGCTCACCTAACCGGATGTAACTTTCCTTCCATCTTTTATTTTTCTTTTCGTTTTCGTTTTCTTTTCTTTTCACGGGGTGTATATACTTCAATCTCACTCTCACTCGCACTACCACTTTTTATCTTTTTATCTTTTTCCTTTCTGTTTTCTTCTATTTTCTATCATAATCTAGCCCCTCTCTCTCTCTCTTTCAACCCCTAACCCCTTCTTCACTTCCTTTTATCAATCGTCTAACTCTTTGCTATAGCCCTTTCCCTTTCTTTTGTTCGATATAATTCTCTATCCATCAAAAACACCTGATTTTCTTATTGTACAAGAAAACAGATACCTACACGTTATACTACTTTATGTTAATTTTGTTTTTTTCACGTGTACACCCGTGTTTATCGTATTTTTCTTTGATATTGATTCAATTATTGATAGATTTTGATTATTTGACAATTTTTTACAATGATTGGATAATATAATTTTGTAATGTAATTATTAGAAATATATATATATATATAAATTAAATATCGTTAATACGTTTTAATGATTTTAATATTAATCATTAAATTAGAAATATTCAATTATAATCAATCGAATATTTTCTATTATATTAGAATTCGCGTTAAGATGAAACTTCTTCTGGTTGGATGATGACCTTGCCCGCGAAAGCATTAAGCTTTTTTTATAAGATCGTTTAGATCGTTAGGAAAAGAAAATAATGATAAGGAAAGAAAGGTTACCCGGTCGTTACTCGGCTTATCTAAAGCCAGTTCACACGCTATGATGCAGAAACGAATGAACTTGTGTACACAAGCAGCAGCAACAGTAGCAGTAACCATGACGAACACCAGCTCAACGATAATGGCAGAAATCAACCGATCGAACAAAATATTTCATTATCGATAAAGGTTTTTTTTCTTTTCGATAAATCATTTGATTTATATTTTGTTCGTTCCGATTAAACACTTACCAGGAAAACATTTGCATCATTACTTATTATTACATCATTTTCATTTAACACGCACGGTCGTATTATTTCTTTTTTTCAATTTATTTATACGAATAATATATTTCGTTTGATTTTATACTCTACGAAAGTAAAAATAAAATAATAAAAAGAAATATAACAAGACGAAACTTATATAGATTTCTATATCGAGATTTATCATTTATTTGAATTGTCAATGACACATGTGAAAATAAAATCATTTAAATTAGATTTATAAATAACTAATAGCTTTGTGTTTTCGCGATAAGAAATTTGCTCGCGTTAAGCTATGCGCAAGTAAATAGAGTAAACATTTTCAAAGTAACGCGCAATTTCGATTCATGCATATATATGATAGAAATATATATATTAAGTTTCCATGCACGTACCAAAGGAAATTTCTCATTTATTTACGTAAGTTTTGCATACGATATCTCGTATGGAATAATCTAATGCGAGAAATAAAAAAAAAAAGAAACTAAAAAGAAATTAAAATAAAATAAAATAAAAATGAAAAATTTTACACAAGAAATGAACATTTATTTCTTCTTTTTCCTACGATCAAAAAAAAAATACATTTTCTTTCGTAAAAAACGACGAATAAGCGCTAAACGAAAGGGAGTAAATAATTTAGCGAAATATATTATTTAAATGATAAAATTTAACAGGGAACTTGGACATGAAAGAAGTAGAACTTAGTTTGATTTAGTTGGACGTTTCGTCCCTTTATTGGGACTTCTTCAGCAACTAGAAATTTTATTTTATTATTATTTCTTATATTACGACATACATGAGGCTCATACAATATATMATTTTTTTACATGTTACCTTGATCTTTACAGTTCAGCGTCTTTTTTYATTGAGTAGACATACATTTTTCTTTTTATTAATATTCAAAACACAAAACATCTAAACTTCGTTAAATTGATCGTTATTATTTAAGTTCCTCAACAAGTTTTATATTTAACTTAATAACGATCAACTTAAATAATAACGATCAATTTAACGAAGTTTAGATGTTTTGTGTTTTGAATATTAATAAAAAGAAAAATGTATGTCTACTCAATGAAAAAAGACGCTGAACTGTAAAAATTAAGTTGCTGAAGAAGTCCCAATAAAGGAACGAAACGTCCAACTAAATCAAACTAAGTTCTACTTCTTTCATGTCCAAGTTCCCTGTTCAATTTTATCATTAAAAATTGTAATTTTTGGACGAGAGAAATACTAAATAAATATTATTTAAAATTTGCCTAAGATTTATCATATGAGTTGATTTTTTAGTAATATTTCGTTTATGCGATAGATAGATCGAGAAAACTAGAAATAAAATAGAAAACGAGTAGAATCGTGGCGATTTCTATCGTTCCCTCGTTTCTACTTTTCCACAGGATCCTCTTTCTCTCTCTCTCTCTCACCGTTTATTCTTTTTTTTACTATTTCACCACTCTCACTATCGTTCTCGGTCTCTTTTACTTTTGCACAAACGTCACGTGTCGCCATAAAGCTACGTGCCAGTAGAAACAAAGGATCGACTACGACCCTTAGACGATTTTTCGCGTGTGAACAAAATAGAAATGTAAGTCAAGGATTTGGCGGTTAGAAACACTAACAATAAAACACATCTTCTCATCTGTCTGTCTGTCTGTCTGTCTGCTTTAAATGCGTAAGATAGAAAATTAAATGGAGTAACAATTGTGCCGATAAAGATCTACTATCGTTTTCTTTTTTTTTCCTTATTAAAATATCATTACGCTTAAATTTGGTTTTAATCAGACAAATTTTGACACTCATATTTGACAAATAAAAATAAACATTTAAATTATATAAAAACGTTAAATGTGATGTGTGCTGAAAGAAAAAAAAAAAAATAAAACACACAAAAAAATATACCACGTTTTAAAGTATAATATAATTAAAAAGAAAACAATTCGATGAGCACTTAAATCAACATTCGTAATTAAAAAAAAAAAAAAAAGACAAAAAATATTGACCGAGATTTGCTAAGAGAAGTGTAAAAAATAAAGGAAAGAAAAACAATGGTAAAAAAACTAATAATATACCATAATCATAACGTCAAGAAGGCCAACGATGATGTGTCAATGTGAAAAAGAAACTGCTCGTCATTGAAAGAGAGGACAACCAACGTGAGGTGCAGTGTATTAACATAGTCGACATTAATAGATATTATGCAAAGTAACAAAAGAGAACTGTTATCGAACGTCGGCACGTTGTATGTCGTCGTCATCATCGACACATCGTGTTAGAAACATCGGAAAAGTTTAGGACAAAGGTAGAATGCGTTTTCTTTTACGTGCTTTCACATACACACATAGAAACACACACACATACATATATAGTATACACAGGTGGTGAATGTTACATCGTTACGTCGAAGATTATCATCATTTAACGAATAATAAACATTTTAATTGTATCAATATTAATTTGTACAAATATTTGCTACTAATGTTAAAAAATACAAAAAAGAAAAAAATGAAACGAACATATTAACACACGATTTTTCGTCAAAAGTTAAATGATATATATATATATATATATTAATAAAAAAAAATATAATGAAGATAATATTATTAAACGTTTAGAATCGTCAAAATCGTGTAATAGTATTTATTAATTTTAAACTCGCGATATCGTAAGATATATATCAGTTTCGTAATTATATCAAAGTGATTCTTCAATGGAAATGAGTTATATAAATATTTGTAAATTAAAAAGATAGAAAAAGAGAAAAAAAAAAGAGAAACTGTAAAGAATCGTACGCGTTATCTCGTACTCATGCGTACCAGATGTTCCAAGACGTATTATGTTAATACGGAATACTAAATGCGTTCGATCCTTGGGTTGGCTGTTGTGTTCGATCTGATCGTCACGATCCATTTAACATAAACTTCCATACGTGTAGTCGATGAGAAAAACACGAGTATCAAATATGTTTCTGACTGAATAAATAAAAGAAAAAGAAAAAAGAGAAAAAGGGCGACGCGTGGCAGTATGATAATAGAACGTGAGAACGTGGTCATTATACTCGTGGACCCAACGAATTCAATTAATAATATAACAAAAAAAAAAGAAAAAAAGGAAATAGAGGAAACACACGAGCTGAGCGAGCGAGCGAGCGAGCGTGCATGAGTTTCCGTTCAAGTCAGCGTGCACATGTTACGCGTTTTTATTTGCGTGTTTTTTTTTTTTGGGGAGAATAAAAATAAGAAATGAAAAAAGAAAAAAAATATACGGAGAGTGAGAGCGAGAGAGAGAGAGAGAGAAAGGGGGATGAAAGGAAGGGAGAGGGGAATAAACTAAAATAAAGAAATTTAACAAATATGCCTGGAACCATCTCGGTTACGAAAAAAAAGATTGAAATTAAAGTGAACAAAGTAATACGGAGATCGAATAAACGTACATACATATATATATCATATATATATATATACACGTGTTAAAATATTATTATAGATATGCATAATTATAATAAACAATGCAACGTACCAGATGACCATAATAAAGATCCACGAACTTTCCACGCTCCTCCGTTTCAACGTTATTTTTTATTCTTCTATCTTCTTATCTCTTCTTCTTCTTCTTCTTCTTCTTATAACACTTGACTAATTATCAAAGTCCAGAGTATAGAAGAAAACACATTTCACACGATATGAAACACCGGGTGTCTTAGATCACTGCTCGCGAGCCTCGGGTTAAAAGGCGAGGCTCACGAACGGCGACGTGGTGCACGACGACGATGACATTGACGACACCACCACTCGAGAGTTGTGTTTTTTACCTCTTCCTTTTTCACTTTTACGAAATGAAAGAAAGAAAAAAAAAACAAAAAATCAAACATATAAGGAACGACGGAACTATCGAAACGGGGGAAAAGAAAAAGAAAAAAAAAAAAAAATCACAATAAGTGACGAGGGGGGTTATTAACGTTCCTCTTTGTTCCACCAAGTAGTCAAAAATCCTTCCTTCCTTACTTCCTTCCTTTTTCCAAAGATATATTCGATGCTCCTCGAAACTGACTTTTACATTTGTAACGCAAACGTACGAAAGTTTTACTTCCTTATCCCCCTTTTGCCCCCCCCCCGCTCTCGTTCGTAGATGTAACAGTTGAGAATAATCAAAGTAAAATCGAAATACCGACAAAAATTAACGTATCTCTCGGCACACCAAATTTCCAAGTAATAGTAATAGTAGAAAACGATGGGGAAAGGACAAAAAAATTTGACGAAGATTTCAAAGGAAAAGGAAAAGAAACAAAGTTTATAAAATTCGATGGGTAAAAAGGAAAAAAAAAAGAAAAGAAGAATTGGAATGGGGGAGGAGAGGAACCGGGGGGAGGGGGATGAATTAGACGATTGGATCTCGATTTGGAAAAGGATGTGCAAGGATGCGTAATGGATCGTGTAAGAAAAAGGGGGGAACGGGAGGAAGGGATTAGATGGTAAAGGATGGTAGACGACGATCTTCTCTCTCTCTCTCCTCTCTCTCCTCTCTCTCTCTCTCTCTTTCTCTTTCTCTTTCTCCTCTCCTTCTCTTTCCGGTGCGAACAGGTGGGCACACGCTCGCGACACGCTGCGCGCCCGCGGAGAACACGCGAGTCTCGCGAGATACGGGAAAACGACAATGAGAGAAGACGCACGCGTCGCGACGGCTTGACGTCGACTAAGGTAGATCGGACTCGGCGCTTCACGCCACGCACCCCCACCACCGCGAATCCGCCGCCGCCACCCCCACCACCATCACCGTCGCGACGTCGGCCGACGCCGACGCCGAAGCGGAAGTCGAAGCTGAAAACCGAAGCCGAAGAAACCTTTAACGACAAACTCTCCCGCCAGTGCTCCGAGGGCGCCACCGTCGTTTATCCTCCCACCCTCCTACTTTCCCCCTTTCGCATCATTTCTTCGAGATTAACACACTTTTCTCTGACCGATCGCCTATTAATCGGCTTTTTTTATATCAACAACGCTGACCGACCGAATGACTATTAATCGGCTTTTTTATTGCCCACACTTACCGAACAATCGTTTTTGTTGCATTGTTCTTATCAATATTTTATTTAATCTAATTATTCTATCATGTAATATTCTGTATATACTAATATATTCTGTAATAATAGAAATCGGACAATTCTCTCTCTGAGCATACGAAACAAACAGATACTCCCGGGCGCTAGTGTAGGCCGAAAAACAGCCATCGTTGTTTGAGAGGGCGGTCAGTAAAATGTTAAAGCCACGATTTTCTTTTCCACGATCACACTTTATTTCTTCATTGGTATATCTATTTTCTTCTATTTCTATCCGACACTTTTCTATTATACGTGGAACCCTATTTCCATCCCCTGTTACCATACTACATCTCCCATTCTTCGAAGCAAACCGAAACAGAAAGCTTCTTGGATTATCTTACTCTCTCTTCCTTTCTTTTTTTGGATTTTATCTATCTATATAGATTTAGTTTTGAAAACTATATATATATATATATATATATATATGCGACGATCTTCGTCGATCATTCTGCAATCCTGATCGAGATTCCTCATGCAACCATCCTGACATTTCTATACAAATTTGATCTATGGTGCGTTAAACATAAATCAATATAATAATATTAAATTGATTTATATACGAATAATCCTTTCTTTTTTTTTTACCATTTACTTTTAACAAATTATTATTTCTTTGTATTTTTTTTTCTTTTTTTAATTTTCAATTATTATATTTCTTTTAATGCGATAGATAATTTTTAATTGGCAACATACTATATTTCGTTTTAACCACGAGGCCGAGACTAATTATTATTCGTGGGGGTTTTTACCTTTCTTTTTTTTCTCTATTTTTCATTCTTTCTTTTTTCTACTTAGATGTTTTAAAAGTACCGATAATAAATTGTTTCACGTAAACGTGTCGCACAAACTATTAGTGCTTTTTCGATAATCTAAGTACGATCATTACGATGCTCTCGCATAACACACACCCACACACAAGTACATATATAGAGAGAAAGAGAGAGAGAGAGAGAGAGAGAGAGAAGGGTTACATGTCTGTGACTTTACGGTGGATGGCCGCACGCGAATGACCTCGAAGATCATTTGTCATACTGTCGCAAGTTTGCTAGTTAATGCACCGGCCTGCATCACGCGTGCGCACGCACGTTCTACTTCCTCTTGTCGGGACCATCCTTCTTGCTACAATTTTCAAACTATAACGCTTTATACATACTCCACACACACACACACACACAAATTTATAGACAAGAATGTACGTACACATACGTATTCATGAAAATACGTAAAAGTAATAAGCACATTGAGGATGCATAATATTTGAAAGTAAGAATATACCTGGTGTCTTCTGTTTTCTTCACTTTGTTCTTTCTCTTTCTCTCTAATAACAAAAAAAAAGAACTGACAAATGTAAGAGCGTATTTAGTGCCAAGAAGAAGTCGCCATCTCGACAAAGCTTCCTCGAATCGTAAATTTGACTTTTAACGACTTCTCCGTTTCCCCTCCCACCCTCCCTTCCACCGTTCTCATCCCATTTTTTCTCATTCTCTTTCGTAAGTTTTAGTATGCGAAAGATCAACGATCAAAGAAAGCTTGTTACCGTTAGTTAAAAGGAAAGAGAAAAAGAGAGAGAGAGAGAGAGAGAGAAATATTATACCATGATCTAACCTGAAGCTTTACTACTTTCACGATCGAAACCATTTCAATGATCGATAATAATGAACTTGTTCGAGATTTACACCGGGACAGTATTACCGATGAACTTTTACGATTGGCCGATAAATGAAATCAAGTTTAACAACGGCTATTAACGTTTATATACATTTGCATCTAATTAATTAACTAACAACTATCCACCTTCGAATTATCCATTTAAATATTTTCATCTATCCCCGTATTGAATTAACAATTTACCCAAAACCCCAATCCCATCCCCCATCTTTCTTCCAGCAAAGTCTACGTTTCCCAAATCGTATTTATTGGCTTATATTACTCGGTCTGATATTATTCATTTAATTATCGTTATTGATCCTCTCTTCCTTCACGTGTAGTCTTTAGAACAGAATGAGAAAATTAAAAAATAAGAAAAAAAAACCAAAAATGAAAAGAAGAAAAATAAAACGAGGAAACACAGGAGGTGATTTATTAAAAATTGTATCAAGTCTTTTGTTGTTTTTTTTTTCTTTCTGTTTGCTTTCGAAACACACACAACTGATTTAAATTGTCCGTCATACGTCCTGCAATGATTACGTCATTTTTAATTATGTCACTAAAGTCTACCCGTTTATGACATCGTACTCGATACACTGTCGCTTCGATCTGCACCAATCAATTTCCCATTTCCTATAGTTTCATTTCTATTAAAACAAATAATATTATATCCCGTTATTCGTGATTTCGCATCAACGAAAAATTGATTATATACAAGTCAATACCGTTTACATACACATATATATATATATACTCACGTATGCATTTAAATGAAATTTTACTATTGAAGTATAGAAAAAACAAAAACAAAAAAAAATGTGTTAAACTTATCGGATCGTTTGGAACGTACAAATTTAGCATAAACTTGGAGAAAAACGATATCTCGAGATCGATAGATCGTATCAAGGCCGAAACACGTAAACTACTATGAATTCAGAAATTGGATCAAACGATCGAGCGATTCCAATTTATGTCGCTTACAATACCATGCTGTATTCGTTCGCATAACGATAACAAGAGCAACGAGGAATCCTATGAAAGAGAAATAGAAACATAGAATCACTAGGGTGAGAAAGGGAGAAAAGGGGAGAGAAAGAAAGAGGGAAAGAGAGAGAGAGATAGAGAGAGGAACATACGGTTTACACCAGGTACCAAAATTAGCGTTCACCAATTATTGGTTGCAACACTTTATCGATTTCTTATTGTTATCGCTCGTAAATTAATTAAATTAACAATTACGATTGGCACCACGGGGCAAACCCTCTGCTCGTAAATAACATCGCTTGCGTTATTCGCATGTGTTTATGTTTGTTCTTACCCATATATAAACATACATATGTATATGTATATGCAAATGCAAATATGTATTGTATATATGTCGTATATATTAAATCGTATAATTCAGTTAATTCATGAAATATCATTGACACGAAATAATGAAATATTTCCAAAAAAATTTCTATACAAACATATTGCGATAATCCTACAATACGTATGCTCTTATATTTATTTGATAAATATATATATATGAAATAATTTAAAAATTAACATTAACATATACATCAGTTTTTATTGTAGATACGTGATATGTATATTACACACACACACACACATTTATCCTACATACATACATTCATGGTATATGCACACGTTTATTCGTGGATATGATATTCCGAAACGTATGACAATACGGTTTTCTTTCTTGCGAACGTAAAGCGTAAGGAAGTACATAGAAATCGAATGAGGGAAGAGAATAAGAGGACCGCTAGGGAGGAAAAATATATGAACAGTTTCAAGAGGAACGATTCTTAAATTTCTATCATAGTAACTAATAACTAAGTTATAACTTTACCGATGCAGGAAGCTCGTTCAATGCACACAATTGCAAGATAAGATACATAAACGAACTACTAACGTAAACAAAAGAACATTAAAAAACAAAACACCCCAACGCGTTTATAATATTTTATATTTGTAAAATGAGACTGTGTTACTGTTCGAGAACTAAACATCGACTGTAGACGTCTGTCTTTTCGAAAAAACATTTAAAAAGTTTCCTTTTGACGATACAAATGCTTGTTTATTAGAATATTTGAATTTTATTACAATACTCGTTTATTAGCTGATGTATACGTGACCCTTGTTGATCTCTCCTTGCCTCCATGAATATGTTGATGCATTTAATCTATGACTTTTAATCAGTTGTCTCACTGTTTCATTTAATTTTGAATACGCATTTCAATGCACAATCTGGATTTTATGTTAAATTTATTCGAATTTAAATATACCGATTATTTTTTTTGTCGCGAATTTATTAGATTTAAAAAGTGAAATGCGCAATCTTCCTGTTGGATTTCGTGCACCTTTGTTCCTGTTTCAAATCGGGTTATCGAATTTCGAATTATGTGTATACGTGTGTGTGTGTGTTCGAATAATCCAGTGTGACTTTGACGAAGTTAATCCGATGATTAGGCGTTTTAAATGTTTCAATAAGGAAGACTGGATTTTTCGCTGGAACGTGGCGAATGAAAAATATCATTCATCGAAATAATTTAACAACCATCGATTTTCCTTGATTTATATTTCACAAATTTGTCTGATAAATATTTGTCGACGTTGTGTAAAATAATTTCGTATATTCCAATGACAAAATTGAATATTTCGCATTTACGTATTGTTCTTTCGCATTCGTGAGTTACGTGCTTTCGAAATTTTTTTCCAATTTGTTGCACGGGATCATCATCATATGTATTACTTATAGTAAATACATTTAATAATACGTCATTTTACGTTTGCGAATTCGCATCGCATATATTGCCGTTTAACGACCGAATCCAGATTACAACGGACGACGTATTATACAGAAACAAACCGATATATATATATATATATATCGTATTGTGGTAAATTTACACTGAGTCTCTACTTTGAATATTATTCGCTGGTATGTTTAAAGTTCT